CACTAACCAGTGCCAACTTGAGATGCCAGTGTTATAGGTGGCAACTTTATCTGCTTTACCACACATTGTCCCATTGTCCTCATTTTTAAAAAAGATTTATTTACACAGGCTGGCACTGTGTCTGCACAGGCTAATCCTCCACTTCGTGGTGGCAACATCACATATGGGCCCCAGTTGATGTTCCGGTTGCTCCACTTCCAATCTGGCTCTCTGCTTGTGAGGGAAAAGCAGTGGAGGATGGCCCAAGTTTTTGGGACCCTGTACCTGCGAGAGAGACCAGAGGAAGCTACTGATTCCTGGCTTCAGATCAGCTCAGCTCTGGTCTTTGCAGCCACGTGGGTGGTGAACCAGCAGATGGAAGACCTTCTTCCTCTTGCCTCTTTTTCTCTATAAATCTGCCTTTTCAATAAAAATAAATAAATCTTAAGAAAGGAAGGGAGGAGTCATGGCGTGCTGGCCTAGCATCTAAAGTCCTCGCCTTGAATGCATAAGGATCCCACATAGCACTGGTTCTAATCCTGGCAACCCTGCTTCCCACCCAGCTTCAGCTTGTGGCCAGGGAAAGCAGGTGAAGACAACCCAAAGCCTTGGGATCCTGCACCCTCATGGGAGACCTGAAAGAAGCTCCTCACCCCTGCCTTCGTTTCAGCATAGTTTCATGAATTGTGGCGACTTAGAGACTGAATCATGTAATGGAAGGTCTTCTTCTCTGTCTCTCCTCCTCTCTGTATCTCTTACCTTGCAATAAAAATAAATAAATCTTTCTAAAAGAACAGAAAGGAAGAAAGAAGACAAGACAAAAGGAAGACCCTAACATCCTTCTGTCTGGGCTCAGTACAAAGGGTCCCCGTTTCATGAAAGAGTTACAGAGAGAAAATCCCCTTCTCATCACTGGTTCACTCACCATGTGGTCATCATGGCCAGAGCTGAGCTACTCTGAAGCTGGAGCCAGGAGCACCCTCCAGTTCTCTCATGTGGGTGCAGGGCCCTTGGGCCATCCTCACTGTTTTCTCAGGCCGTTAGCAGGAAGTTCAATCAGAAGTGGAGCATCTGGGGGCTCAGTGTGATGGCTCAACTGGCTAAATCCTCACCTTGCAAGTGCCAGGATCCCATATGGGTGTCAGTTCATGTGTTGGCTGCTGTGCCTCCTATAAGCAGAGAGCTGGATTGGAAGTGGAGCAACCAGGACATGAACTGGTGCCTGTATGGGATGACAGTACTCTAGGTGGAGGCTTAGTCTACTACACAGTGGCACTGGCCCCATCCATTTTGTTTTAAGAAGTGTTCTTATTTTTTAAGATTTGTTATTTTTTTTTATTATTATTATTGCTAAGGCAGATTTACAGAGAGAAGAAGAGACAGAAAAATCTTTCATCTACTGGTTTATTCAACAAGTGCTGCAATATCCAGAGCTGAGCCAATGCAAAGCCAGAAGGCAGGAGCTTCTTCCAGGTCTCCCACGTGGGTGCAGGGTCACAAGGCTTTGGGCTGTCCTCTCCTGCCTTCCCAGGCCACAGGCAGAGAGGAATGGAGGAGCTGCCACTTATTCCTGGTTCCCAGGACTGGCCTGTGCTAGGGGATGCAGGCCCAGAGACTCTTTCTAAGGCAGCTGTGTTGGCATCAGCCTTCCTTTCACTTACAACTCACTGCTTCCAAGGGGGAGCAGGAGGGCTGTGTCTTTAATGAGAAACTGCAAAGGGAAGGAGGGAGGGACAGAGGCCTCGGCCAGAATCACTCAGCCAAGGGGCTCAGCCCAGAGCAACAGATGGCTCGTGCTCACTGGAGGCACTCAACTGTCTCTCTACTTTCTTCTGGTCCTTCATCTTGAGTCCAATGTCCACCCTTTTCTCAAAGAAGTTGACCAGCACAGACTCCGGCAGGATGGAGGCCAGGATCTGCTTGAAGGAGATGCACCAGTCTGCGTCCATGGTGTTCCCAATGCGGGCAGTGGCTGTGGGGTTCTCACACTGCAGGGAGCCCATGCTGACCACTGAGTAGGAGGACATGGATATGTTGTATTTGGTTTCATCATCAGACGGGAGCTGGGAGGGTGAGCCCCGCCCCTCTCCACTGCCCCCCTCTACCACCGTCTGTCTCTCCTGTGGCACTTTTCCAAGGTGGGTGTCTCCACCAGCTTTGGTCCAGGGGTCCCCCGTGGCTGTCGGCTGGCATTCCTGTACTGGGGCCTGACGGGATTCCCTTGCAGGTGACTGAGGGTCCCCCGTGGCTGGCACTCCTGTACTGGGTTCTGAGGGGGTTCCCTTGCTGGTGACTGGGGATGCCCCATGGCTGGCGGCTGGAGCCCCTGTACTGGGCCTGAGGGGGGTTCCCTTGCTGGCAGTGGGGACTCATCCTCAGTGGAACTGCCCTGGTCCTTGCTGGGGGTGCCACCCGTGGGCTTCTTGACACTGGGACTGGAGAACTTCTTCCCCACCTCATTGATGTGGAGGAGGAGGCTGGCCACTGTGGCAATGGCATGGTACAAGTCCTGCTCCAGGGGGTCCTCACTGAACATGTTGTATAGCGCTTTGCACAGTTCAATGAATTGCTCCTATCAAGGGGGAAGGCAGAACAAGGAGATGGTAAGATGGCCCTGGTGTTCATTCCACACATGCTGCTGGCCACTGGAACTGGTGCCAGGATGTGGTCCTGTTTATTGGCGCCAGACCAGTGCTCTAGTCTTACTTCACACACGGGAATGTGGAGGCTCAGAGTCGGGAGGGACCTAAGCAGTCACTCTGCCTTGCTGGGCTCTCCCCCTGCAGTGGACAGCAGCTCTGAGCTGGGCTCTCTGCTCCGACATGTGGTTCTGCTGTTGGAGATGCATGGCTGTGTGAACCCGGCCTTGACCATGGCTTCCTCCCTGGGGTCTGGCCTCACCCTTGGCCTTCTAGCTCCTGGGTGAAAGCAACTTCAACTCTGACCTTCAGGGAAGCTCCCAGAGGGTGCTGCTGAGGGGGTGAGGGTGGTCTTGGGTCTCTAAACCACATCCTGGCCTGAGAGAGGGGGGAGACCACCCATTCCTCAGGCTGGAGAAGGCTTAGGCTCACAGGCTCACAGGGCCCCTCTGGGCATAGCCAGGGCCAGCCCAGCCCAAGCACTAAGGGCAGGCTGTAGTTCAGGGACTGCCTCTGGCTACTTTCTGCAGCTGAACCCAGGGGTTGCCCCTTCCTGCCTGGGAGACCCTTGGGAAGACAAAGAAGCTGCTGTCCCCAGAGAGCAGGAAGTGGAGAGCAGACAAGCCTGTGTGCACAGGGTGCCTGGGCAGGGAGTGTGAGGAAGCAGCTGTGGGGTAACCTTCCCCAGGGCTGCTCAGACCTACCACTGTCCCTCCACCTGAACAAGCGGTCCCTGTGCAAATGGCCCCTGAGCAACAAGCTCCTGACTTTCCAGAATCATCACTGGGACTCCTGGGCGCTCAAGTGAGCTAGTGAGTGATGAGTGCCACCCTGTGTGGACCCTGGGGCATGGTGCTGACATGGCATGCTGGGCCCCGGTGTGCCTCAGGGTTCTGCAGAGGTGTCTGCTGCAGCCTCCAGCCTGGCCCACCTGGTTCATTTTGGGTAGATCCTTGATGGTCTCCTTCTGAGCCCCTCTCTCCTTGGCCCACATGCGAAGGTAGAGTCGGTAGTCTGGGGGGCTGGTCCCCTTCTCCTCTGTGAGTCAGGAGGAAAAGACATTAATCTCGGCCTGTCATGACAGAAAGAGGGCTTGAGCCTGGGGTCAGGGGGTGGGATGGGCCCTGTTACAAAGCACCTGCATCTGGGGAGGTGCTGACAGGGAGAATGCCTGGAAGAAGGGATGGCTCAATGGGATGAGGATGGTCCTGAGGCTGTGTTCTCGGCTGTGAGAGGTTGGCCTGAGGAGGTGAGAACTCCACAGGGGACACCAGGCACCACAGGGGACAGCAGGGCCTCCAGCCCAGGTCACTGACCTTCAGGGCATGCCTGTCAACTGGGGGCCAGGCAGTGGGGGAGCTTTGCAGAAGTGACTGGGGATGGACACAGCCCACATGAAACCCCAGACCTCAGCCCTGAGACCCTGACTGGCCGTCAGGGGAGAATGGCCTGTACCTGCTCGCTTTTCTTGGGTATCCTCGCTTCTGCTTCCTTCCCGACCTTCCTATGGTAGTGCCTCTGCCAACCAGGAAATAACAACATGGAGCACATTCTTCTCCAGCTGGGACTGCAGCCCACCTCTGCCGAGGTCCAGCCTGTGCTTGTGCGGGAGCAGTCCCGGGTTCTGGTTCCCTGCACGGAGCCTCCTGCTTTGGCCTGACCTTGGGCTCTGCCCTCCGGCACCACCGTCAAGGAGGGCCTGGGCATTTCCCCACTTGATCACTGAAAGCAGCAGTAGCTGTATCACACTCCGGTTTTGCTTTTTTCTTTTTCCAGAGGACTACAAGTCTCCCCCATATGCAAACAGCAATCCGGTGTGATGGACAAGCCTGAGAACTGATGAATCCTGTGGTTTCGTTAGGAAAAGGTCACCTGCGTGGGATCACACCTATGACAGCTACACCAGGAGGGAAGGAACTTGACAGACATGAACCCTGTGCTCAGCACATCCGCTGGAGGAGGACCACACTGTGCGGTTCACGTGTGAACATGAACCTGGGGAGGAACAAGCTGCCCTGGTCTCCCAGGCCTGCTGCCAGAAGACAGGCGAGGACAGAAGTAGCCCAGCCCTCAACTGCCTCAGTGAGCGTGGGTGACAGTGCAGGGCCTGGGGTGCTGTGGGGTCTGAGGTCAGGGTTCTGCACCCAGAAGCACACAGCACAAGCTTAAAGCTTCCCAGGTTGCCCAGGGTCCGTGTGTAACAGGAAGCACACCTGCTGCTTTGGCCTGTTACTGGAAGCCAAGGCCCTCCGGGTCTGTGAGCTAAGCCTTCACGGTCAGCAGGACCTGTGGGTCCTTCAACACACACAATAATTGTTTCCCCTTTGGGCCTGCCACATGACGTCACAGCACAGCGTGGTCGCCAGCTGTGTCATCAAGTCCTTTCTGATTCTTAGGTGAGTTTGTAAACACCCAGTGTCTTTCAGGTTAAAGTGCAATCAGTGCCTCATACAATCCAGGGGTGTGGGGGCACGTGCTCACCTGGGGGAAGGTGCAGCTTGTAGAGCACCTTGAGCTTTTCAGTCATGTCCCCGTGGTACATCCCACCTGTGGGAGAAGGCAGGAGGAGGGCATGATGAGAGGGGCTCCCCAGGACGGTGCAGGCTCCAGGGGGCTGGGACAGGACCTCCTCACAGCAGCAGAGGGCCCAGGAGCCAGTCCCAGGCTTCCTCAGAATATCGCCAGGCCAGCTCAGCCTTCCCTGCGGCCAGCTGCCCCAGCCCCACAAGGGAGGGAAGGATAGACTGGCCAGGGATGCCATGGGAAAAGGCCAAGGCAGCGTCAGGCCCCTGGAGGCACTCACTTTTGTTTTAGAACATAGTTTTAGGATGTGTGTATCTTTAAAATAGAAAGGCAGATTTACCAGAAAGAAGAAAAGGGGGAAGATTTTCCATCCATTGGTTCCCTGGCTGGAGGTAAGCTGATCTGAAGGCAGGAGCCAGGAGCCTCTTCCATGTCTCCCATGTGGCTGCAGGGTCCCAAGGCCTTGGGCCATCCTTCACTGCTTTTCCCAAGCCAGAAGCAGGGAGCTGGAAGGGAAATGGAACAGTCAGGATATAAACCAGCACCCACATAGGATCCCAGTGCACACAATTTAGCCACTAGACTATAAATCTTAATTTTTTTTCTTTTTTGCCTAACAGTCAACGCCAACCTAACTTGAGCCATAGTATCTTAACTTGAGTCAGTCTGATCATTTGGAAGAAAGGTTCCCTTTTCCTGGGGCTACTGAGGGGATAGCGTGTCCCTGGAGCTGCAGACAGCCATGGACTCTGCAGGAAGCGCAGTTCAGAGAACGTCAGAGGGTGAGAGTGTACAACACTGCATCTGAGTCCCTGGATCCAGCCAGGCCTGACACTGTCTCCCTCAACTCTGCAGTTCCTTGAGCCCATGAACTTCTGCTGTAAGCTGCCTTGTGCTTTCTAAGGGAGTGTTCTGCCTAAACTCCAACAAGGCTTAACTTCTACCACTTAGACTTCACAGCAAGTGCATGCGCGGATGCTTCCAAACCCCTTCTCTTCCAGCAGGAACCTCTGTGCTGAGGATGCTCTAGGAAGACAAGGTCACAGTTACAGGTCCCGTCCCTGTTCTCGGCTCTCACCTTAAACACCATGTAAAGGTCTTCCAGCTCTTCAGTGGAGAAGCCAGTGTCCCCAGGTATGGCTTGGACCTAGAAGAAAGAGACAGGCTGGGCTGAGGGACTCTCAAGTGCCTGTTGCAGCAGGAGACAGATTGTCACAGGGACCAGGGCAAAGGCACAAGCTGCCCCTCAGTGTGGCAAGTCGGCCATCCCACTGAGGGCAGGGCCTTGCCCTGCTGGCCTCTCACCACCCAGCCTGCCACTCAGTGCAAGCTCCCTGAGGTCTGTGCCCTAGTGGGCTGAGAGTGGGGGACATGGGACATTGTTTAGTTCCTCCTGTCTGGACCTCTGCTGTGACCCAGGTGCCAGCTCTTGGGAAGGGGTCCTGAAACCAGCAGCCAGCTGCGCTCAGTCAGCTGGAGCCATCCGTTTCTGTCACTTGTGACCTCAGAGTGAATGAAAGGTTTATGGGGGGCACTGGGGAAGTGGGAACGAGGTTGGCAGTCAAGAGACCACGAGTAGATCCTGTGGCAGGGGCACCTGCACCCATCCAGGGATGTGGAGGATGAAGGCTGGATGGGTGCAGAGGCACGGCACGCAGGTGCTCAGAGGGCAGCTGTGGGATGCTCGGGGCGAGGGTAGGAGACATGTGGCAGAGCTTGGGAGACAGAGGGTGCTAGACCTTGGGGGAACGGGGCTTCAGACAGGCTTCCCACTGGCCCATCTGGGAGCAGAATAAAACGACCATGTCCTCTCCCCGCCATGCCCCTGCCTGGTCCCACACATCCTAATGCTGACACTGGTGGTGAGGCAGCAGGGGAGTGTGCGTCCTGCCCCACAGACAGGCCTGAGTGGGAGCCCCTCACGCCCACATACCACGCTCCTCTTGGCTGTGTCCTCCAAGCACTGGATCACTTTCAGCCTGTTTAAACCGCATCTGTTCAATGTCGCTGGCCCGCAGGCTGCTGAATTTCTGCAGGCAGGTGGGGATGATTAGGTGAGACAATGCACAGCCACGGGGTGCAGGGCTGTCACCCCCCACACCTCCCCACTGAGTGCTGACCTCATAGGAGGCTTTGAGGAGGTCAAACATGTCTGTCTGTGTGGGAGGCTCGTCTCCACTGGTCAGCAAGGCATGGAGGTGTGGCACTGGTGGGGAAGTACTCTGCTCATTGACCACATTGTCCAGACATCTGTGTGGGCAAGGGGTCAGACATCGAGATCACTGATAGTTATGGAAGACCCTCCAGGAGGATCGCGCGTGCCCCAGCAGGTACCCTGGCAAGCCAAGGAGCTCCCCTCAGGCCTCAGCCCCTCCCTTGCATTAGGCTCTGCACATGGAAGGTGCCGGGCTATCTTTTGAGGCTCCATGGACAAGGAGCTTGTTCAGGCCAGAAGAGTCCTGAAACCAATCAGAGCAGACAGCTGTGTCCTGTTGCCTGCTGGGGCTCGTTTCCCGGATGAGACTTTTCCACAGTGCTGCTTGCCAGTCCACAGGCTGGACAGCGAAGTCGGCAAAGCACAGTGAGTAAATGCCATTTCACCCCAGCCCTCCGTTTCCATGACCAGGCTCCAGGTGGCCCAGCTCCTGAGGGTCAGCTCAGGGTGTCTGCACAGAGGTGGGAGTAGACAGGCCCTAGAGACCACTGGGGAATGGACTGAGGCCGACTCCCCTCACCTGCTCCCTCCCTGGCAAACAGCACCTCAGACCTGGACTTTGCAAGTGGCTGTGCCAAGCTCTCTGTGCTGCTGGGGACCGGCTTCTGCTTAGCAACCAAAGATGTCCTGACAGTTAGGCTTACCACTTCACAGGACCTCAGAGTGGGTCGCTGCAACTCTGCACCCCAGACAATGGGAAAGAGGGCAAGACAAAACAGACTTGACAAGAGCATCACACACAGGAACTGCAAGGCTCTGCTGTCACCGGGAGATTCAGAGCCACGAGCTGACTTAGGTCTCAAAGCTACTCCTGACAACACCAGAATCTGAACTTGGCCTCCTGGCTTCCAGCTGGAGGCCTGCATGAGGTGATGTTGGCCGTGGCAGATCTATGCTAAGGTGACCCCTGTCAGCAGGCCTCTGGCAGGGCTCTTTACACGCTGATGACAACATAAAGCAAGATCTGAGTTTTGCAGCACTAAATGTGCAGTGGGGCCTGTTGGGTTCCTGGGAGCAGGAACACACCCCAAGTGACTGAATGCCTTCAGTAAGGGAGCATGAGCCTGGAGAGGGCAAGGGTAGCAGGGTGTGCAGAGAGGCCAGGCCAACCTCAGTGGACCCCAGGGTGTCACGATGCCCTTTTGGCTGAGAGTTAATTTCATGAGATGAACAGGGAGCGAAGGGAGCAGGCAGAGGAAGGAGTTGACTCCACACAGGCAAGAACAGGAAGCTGAGCTTTGGGGGGTAAAAAGCTCATACTTCAACAGCTTGTGTGCTTGGTGATCACTGGGACCAAAGTGGAAGCAATATTCCCTATCACCAACCTTCTGGGGTGGCCAAGTGCCCCTGGGAGTGCCCAAGTCTGGGATGTCACGTTTGTGCAACAGCTGGGCCGACTCGGGCTCCATTTCCTGGTGGGAGGAAAGTGCTGTCAATAGTCCAGTCCTGCCAGCACAGTGCCCCGCAGCCTCCCTGGCAACCTGGCTGGCCACAGGAGGTAGGGAGCCTCCATGCAGCCACTCAGCTGCAGCCCAATGGCAGATGGGCTGTCCTGTGCTTGCCAGGCAGTTCTGCCTCATGGCTGGTCCACCTACCTCCCATGGCGCCTCAGGCGGTGTCTGCAGAGCTGAGCTCCTGTGCAGTCTGCAGTATCTGCTTCGCCAGTGTAAACCTCCTGCCCCGGTCAACACCCCTAAGCCCCTACCCCTTGAGGTCACCGTGTGAGCTGCTCACAGAGTTCAGCCAGCATCCCTGTGTCAGCAAGCAGCGCCTGTCTCATCAGTCCCCACCTGAGCCTCCTGGAGGGCACTGGGTACAGCCTGGCACCTTTTTCTGGGCAGCTCCTGACTGAAGGGAGGGTCTGACTCCTCCACATCGGATGAGGACTGTCCATGGAAACACATTCCTCCTCCCAGCTCCAGTTCCGGGGAGTCCTTGTGCAGAAACTTCAGCCAGCGGCTCTCAGAGGGCTGTGTTGGGAAGAACAGGAAAGCAAGCCCTTTGACTGCAGCTCTCACACCCAGGGCTCAGGGATGGTGCCTGCTGGCGAGGCCTTGGAGAGGCAGCAGAACCCCCGAACGTCCATGCTCCCTGACCCAGTGACCCCACACAGACAACAAAGGCACAGAGACACTCGTGGCACTGTAGACGCCATTGTTTAGAATTTTTGGAGACAGGGCCCGGCGCGGTGGCGCAAGTGGTTAAGGTCCTCGCCTTGCACGCCCGGGGATCCCATATGGGCACCGGTTCTAGCCCGGCAGCCCCGCTTCCCTTCCAGCTCCCTGCCTGTAGCCTGGGAAAGCAGTCGAGGATGGCCCAAAGCTTTGGGACCCTGCACCCGCGTGGGAGACCCGGAAGAGGCTCCTGGGTTCGGATCCGCATAGCATCGGCCCTTGCGCTCACTTAGGGAGTGAATCATTAGACGGAAGATCTTCCTCTCTGTCTATCCTCTCTATATATCCGCCTTTCCAATACAAAACATAATAAAAATAAATCTTTAAAAAAGAGAAAAATTTTCCATCTGCTTGTTCCCTCCCTACATGGTTGCAATGGCTAGCGCTAAGCCAACCCAAAGCCAGGAGCCAGGACCTTCCTCTGGACATCCTAAGGCTTTGAGCCATCCTCTACTGCTTTCCCAGGGCATAAGCAGGGATTTAATGGAAAGTGGAGCAGCCAGGACACGAACTGGCATCCATGTGGAATCCAATGTGTGTGGGGCGAGGATTTAGCCACTGAACCATCATTCTGTGCCCAAGGATTTATATTTATTTTCACTTGAAGATCAGAGTCACAGAGAGAAACAGACCTTCGATGTGCTGATTCATTCCCCAAACGGCTCTAATGGCTGGGACTGAGCTGCTCCAAAGCCGGGAGCTAGGAGCCTCTTCTGGGTTTCCCATGTAGTGCAGGGAACCAGGTATCCACTTTCACATGTCATAGGCAGGGAGCCGGGTGGAAAGTGAAGCAGCCGGGACATGAACTGGTGCTCATATGGGATGCCATCGCTGCAGAGGCTTAGCCTACTTTGTCATGGTGCTGGCCTTTTTTAATCAATCTTTACATCACACTGTATGAATCCTCCAACTTTGATTTTTATCAACACTAATTAGATGATTCCTTGTCTTTTGTATTTCTATATAAGTTTCAGGATTAGTTCGTTCTTTTCTTATTTACTTACTTGAAAGTCAGAGAGAGAGAGAGATTTGTTCCCTCTGCTGGTTCACTGCACACATGGCCATAATAGTCAGGACTCAGCCAGGATTAAGTCAGGGGCAAGGAGCTTCATATGGTTCTCCAATGAGGGTGGCAGGGGGCCATGCATGGACCCATTGGTAAGCGCGAAACCTGCATCAGGAGGGGATCTGAGGGAGGAGCCTGAGCAACTCCTCCTACACGACACGGATCCCACAAATAAGCCCAAGAAGCATGGAAGGAAACAGCCCAGAAGATGTCATGGAAAGTTTCCTACTGGCATACGCTTGGCATGGGTTAGGGGCAGAATAGGCTGAAACAGCTCGCATCATCCACTGGCAAACCCGAACGCCAGAGCAGAGTGTGGGTCAAGCCAGGTTCAGTTGTGACAAAAGCAGTACACAACTTAGAGTGGCAAGGTGAGGCTGCCTGTGCTGGATGTGACCGCAGCACTCAACCAGCACACATGAGAAAAGGAAGGGAGGGGCAGACCCGCAGGGGAGTAAGGGGTGGTTCCCTTGCTGGATAGCTACTCCCACTGGAGAGCATGAGCTGGGATGGGAATAGACCAGACTAGGCAGGGCTGCAGCACCTGTGTGCCTCATGTGGACCAGATCAGGGAAGAGCCAGGATGTGCGGACTATTCCTACTAGTACTAACAAAACTAGAGGGGGTGAGAGCTGTCAGGGCTTAACCGTAGCAGAAGCTGGCACTAGGGGCTAATATTGTCAAGTCCAACCACAGGGTCACCTGGAGAGAGCATAATCCGGGAGTGAGAGTGACCTGGGAAGGAAATAGTGGGCTCCTCCCTCTTGGGTTACCACTCCACGGGAGGGCACAAAATAACTAGGACAGGGGCTGGGGTGGCTAGACAAAGAGGCACTCAACAACATCCGTGAGGGCTGGACAGTTGAGCTGGTTGGATGGAACTAAGCTCCAATACCCTTCGACATTTATGAGAGCCAAATGGGATATGGGGCAGACTAAATTAATCTGCTACACATACTGCTGCAAATCAGGGCAGGGGTGGGGGTGACTGGGGGTCGCTCTGACTAGGCTGCAGCTCCCATTGCTATGTGTGATGACCGAGTGAGTATGTGATGAGCAGAACCAGGATGGACTGCAACACCCATTGGTTCCAGTGGAAGTCAGGGCTGAAGACGGAACCAACCCAGCAATTGCAACCACCAGCTGATCGGGGAGATGGACTGTGCCAGGTCCTGTACTTGCTAGTACATATAGGAATCTGGTCTGGGAACACCTCAAAGTTTCTTTGGGGATCCCCTCAACTGAAATGGTGGACTCAGAACCTTAACCAAGAAAAGACGGAAGATAGAACAGGTCAATCAACCACCACAGCTATATGTTGGCAGCGAAACACTGGATGAAGGGAGATTCTATGATGGGCTATGTCAATCAGTACATTATTCAACAGCCTCATCGTGTCTGGAGTGGTAAGACTGGCAGCAATGCATAACTGGTGAACTACCGGGACCACTTGAGCAAGGATCTCGGAGCATGCCCTACATCCGGGACCTGGGGTGGGTGGGAGACTGGGTGGGGCTTCTCCTCAATATTCCCTTTAGCCCTTGTAACTTTTTACCCTAATCAACAATGTAAAGATTGCCAAAATAAAATTTAAAAAGAAAAAAAAAAGATTCATCACATCTTCTGCAATTACTTCCTGCTGCTCATGGACATGAGCCTTGCCTGGTCTCGGTTTGGAAATCTCTGTGTCATCTAATGGGTCTATCTCAGGAGCCAGAGAATTTCCAGTCAGTGCCAATGGCTATGACCCCAGCATGGTCCTCATTACTCTGCAAAGTTGCTGGATTCTTTTTGCCTTTAGGAGAGGTATTTAAGGTCCTGGTTCACTGGAGTAGCCTGGCTTATCTTTTGTATGTTCCTGAGTAAATTCCTCCCTCTTGCAGAAGAGCCTGCTAAGGCAGTGTCCCACATGCAGCTGTGTACACTGAGGTCAGGGCACATCCCAAAGATCTGGCCCTGAGATCAGCGATCCTCTGGCACCAGAAGTCAACTGAGCAGGAAGCCCGGGGCTGCCTACCGATGCCAAAGCCATCAGTGGGACCACGAGCAAAGCAGATCATGGCAGGGATTCCTGGAAGGTACAGCTGACTCGCCCCTGGGACTCGGAGGGGACACAGGGCAGCAACACTCCTGAACCACACCCATATAGCAAAGGGCTCTAGGCACATCCCTAGCCACGCCAGCTGCCATGGCAGGGGATGTGCTGGCACTAATGTCCCAATCTGCAGGGCTAATGGTTGGCAGGAACAAGGTCATCTGTTACAATGTCCTAAGTAAAATAAAGGAAGGAAGTAAGGAAAGAAGGAAGGTATATATTAAGAGAGAAAGGAAGGAAGGAAGTTGGTAGTTTCTTAAAAAAAAAGTTGGGGGAGTGGCTGGGCCCACTATGATGGCTCGATGGCTAAATCCTCACCTTGCAACAGCTGGGATCCCATGTAGGAGTCATTTCACGACCAGCTGCTCCACTTCCCTTCCAGCTCCCTGCTTGTGACCTGGCTTCAGGTAACCTCAGGTCCGGCCATTACAGCCACTTGGGGAGTGAGCCAGCAGATGGAAGATCTTTTCTCCTGTCTCTCTGTAAATCTGCCTTTAAAGAAAAAGAAATAAATCTTTAATAAAAGAAAGAAAAATCACAGTGAGAAAGAGAGAGAGGGAGAGACAGAATTTCCATGCACTGGTTCATTCCTCACAGTTGCATCCTCTGCTGCTTTCCCAGGCCATTAGCAGGGAGCTGGGACAGAAAAGGAACAGCTGGGACATGAACTGGTGTCCATGTCTGATGCCAGTGCCACAGGTGGAAGATTAGCACGCCATGCCACTATGCCAGCCCATAATGTTTTGTTGTTAAGAGCCAGAACCTTCATCAGGTCTCCCACAAGGGTGCTGCTCTGCCAGTGACCCAGGTCCCCGCTGGTGTGCCTGGGAAGACTGCTTAATGCTTTTGTAAGGAGCCCAAGTACCTGGGCCCCTGGCACTCATGTGGGAGGCCCAGATGGAGCTTCAGGCTCCTAGCTTTGTTCTGGCCCAGCCCTGTCCATTGTGCCAGGTGGACCAGTGTAAGATTTCACTATTTCACTGTCCATCAGTGGGCCTTACTCTGTCTCCCGGGGTGCACCTTATAAGACAAGCAATTCTGAAATTATCTGCTCCTTCTGTCTACGAAACCAACCCCTTCTGCTCTGCTGGTTGCAGCATTCATTGAAGTGCTGCTCAATTCTAGAACTGCAATGAGTGCTTCAAATGAAATTTGTGTGATGCTGTCTTTTTGGTAACACATAAACAGAATCCATTCCATCAGGTTTAGCACAGATGCAGCTGGCTTACCTGAGGATCCACATTCTCTGCCTGACGCTAATCTTCAAGTTCTTCTTCTCTGACACTTCCAGAACCTTCCAGAGACCTTAGGGCAAGAATATCCAAACCCCCTTAGTAAAATGAGCCCAAAGAGGAAGGACAAATAAGATGAAAATGGCAGGATGCAAGGACTGAGCAGACCCCAAGCTGCTCTTGGGGCATCTCAGGGACTCAGCTCTGAGGTCTCATGTGCTTCTGGTGTCCTGCAGCAGCCGAGGATCTGGGAGAGGGGCCACTTATTTCCTCTGATTAGGGATGGTCAGGCCCTCCACCAACAGGAGGACTGGGCAGAGAGGCATGCACTCTGCTTAGGCTGGAACTGGCATCTTGGCTTTGACCATGACAAGCTCTGTGATTCATCATGGTTTGACATCCTTGTTCCATTTTCCTCATCCCACTAATGTGGGTAATATTGTGCCCAGGACTGCAAAGATCAATGAAACAATGAATGTCCTTTGCTCAGGACCTCTGGACATAGAGTTCCGTTCATCAACACAGGGATGTATGTCCTCACGGAAAAAGGCCACACAAGTCACTGAGCTTGACACATCACGGTGACTCTAGCTGTCCTGCGGGGGAGGGGATCTGCATCTCACCAAGATGAACTGACGCCATGTGGGTTGTCAAATCACATAATCCCATGCAACACTCCAGTGAGCTCACACTCCACCATATGTGGGCATCTCTACCACAGTTACTTTGCCTTCAGTCACTGATTCTCACAGGGCTATTATGAGGATGTATGCAGGTGAGAGCAGCTACCCTGCCCCACAGCTGAGAACTAACAGTCCAGTGGGCAGTATCCTACCAGTGAGCGCCCCGAACCCTGCATACCTGACTTAAGAACCCATTCCAGGGGCTGTCACCGTGGTGGAGTAAGCTAACTCCCACCTGTGGCCCAGCATCCCAGAAGGGTGCCACTTCATGCCTGGAACAGGTAATGGTTACCTGATACCACATCCAAGTCCCAGTGAGGGAAGTACCTATGGGGAAGGGGTCATCTGATTGACAGACAGGTGGATAGGATGACAGTGTCGGGGAGGAGTGCGTGGTTTCCAACTTTGAGCCTAAGCAGTTACCTGCCTATTCCATTTCATCCTCCCTCAGATAGTTCTGACCTTAATCTTAAGGATTGCTGAAGGATGAAGATTCATCACATCTTCTGCAATTACTTCCTGCTGGTTATGGACATGAGTCTGGCTGGTCTCGGTTTGGAAATCTCTGTGTCATCTAATGGGTCTACCTCAGGAGTCAGAGAATTTCCGCTCAGTGCCAATGGCTGTGTCCGCAGCATGGTCCTCATTTCTCAGCAAAGGTGCTGGATTCTTTTTGCCTTTAGGAGAGGTATTTAAAGTCCTGGTTCACTGGACTAGCCTGGCTTATCTTTTGTGTTTTCCTGAGTAAGTTCCTCCCTCTTGCAGAAGAGCCTGCCAAGGCAGTGTCCCACATGCAGCTGTGTACACTGAGGTCAAGGCACATCCCAAAGATCTGGTCCCTGAGGTCAGAGATCCTGTGGCATCAGAAGCCAACTGAACAGGAAGGCATGGGCTCCCCAACTGTACCAAAACCATCAGTGGGACCACGAATAAAGTAGATCATGGCAGGGATTCCTGGAAGGTACAGCTGACTCATTTCTGGGACTCCGAGGGGACACAGGCAATAATATACCTGAACCATACCCATGTGGCAAAGGCCCTGGGCTCTAGGCACATTCCTAGCCAGGCCAGCTGCCATGGCAGGGGATGTGCTGGCACTAATGTCCCAGTCTGCAGGGCTCATCTGGTCGCCAGCGACAAGGTCATCTGTCACACTGTCCTAAGCAAAATGAAGAAAGGAAGGAAGGAAGAGAAGAAGGAAAGAAGGAAGGCAATCAGGAAGGAAGGAACATGGTAATTTCTAAAGAAAAGAAACAAGAAGGCAATGTGCCTGAGCCCACTGTAATGGCTCGATGGCTAAATCCTCACGTAGCAAGAGCTGGGAGCCCATCTGGGAGACAATTCTAATCCCGGCAGCCCCAATTCCCATCCAGCTCCATGCTTGTGGCCTGGGAAAGCAGTTCAGTACAGCCCAAGGCTTTGGGACCCTACACCCACGTGGGAGATCCTGCACCCACATGGGAGACCCAGAAGAGGCTCCTGGTTTAGAATCACCTCAGGTTTGGCCATTACAGCCATCTGGGGGTCAAGCAGTAATTGGAAAATTTTTTTCTCTGCCTCTCCTCTCTGTAAATCTGGTTTTCCAAGAAAAAGAAAAAAAATCTTTAAAAAAGAAGAAAAAGGAAAATATTAGAGTCAGAAAGAAAGAGAGAGGGAGAGACAGAACTTCCATCCACTGGTTCACTCCTCAGAGTTGCATCCTCTGCTGCTTTCCCAGGCCAGCTGGACTAGAAATGGAGCAGCTAGGACCTGAACTGGTGTCCATATCTGACGCCAGTGCCACAGGTAGAGTATTAGTTTGCTATGCCACCCTGCCAGCCCATAATGTTTTTTAAGAGCCAGAAGCTTCAGCAGGTCTCCCACAAGGGTGGCCAGAGCCCAAACACTTGGGTCATCATGCACAGCTTTTCCCAGGTCATTAGTAGGAAGCTAGATTGCAAGTGGAGCACTGGGACACAAACCAGCATCCATATGGCATGTTGCGGGCAGGGACTTGACCAGCAACGCCACAACACTGGGCCTCTACTATTTTAGCTTTCAAGAACCGGGAGCCAATGTTGTGGCACAGCAAGTTAAGTCCCTGCCTGTAGTGGTGGCATCCTTTATCAGAGCACTGCTTTGGGTCCCCGCTGCTCTGCCTGTGAGCCAGCTCCCCGCTGGTGTGCCTGGGAAGACTGCTTAATGCTTTTGTAAGGAGCCCAAGTACCTGGGCCCCTGGCACTCATGTGGGAGGCCCAGATGGAGCTTCAGGCTCCTAGCTTTGTTCTGGCCCAGCCCTGCCCATTGTGCCAGGTGGACCAGTGCAAGATTTCACTTTTTCACTGTCTCCCTTTGTCATTCTGTCAAAAAAATAAATTTACAACTAACTGATTTTCTAAAGCCCCCATTGTCAGATTTACTAAACATGCAATATTATACACACTGAAATCCTTGAGCTGCCTGCTGCTCAGTCTATTCTGACATATTTCCTTCATTGTTTAGTAATTTCCAAAACTATATGTATTTAAATAGCACAGTTTACAGAGAGAGATAAGGAGAGACAGAAAGCTCTTCTATTTGCTGGTTCGCTCCCCAAATGGATGCAATGGTCAGAGAAGGGCTGGTCCAAACCCAAAGAGCCAGAAGCTTCTTCAGAGTCTCCCACGTGGGTACAGGAGCCCAAGAATTCGGGTCACCTTCGAAGGTTTTAACACGCACATTATCAGGGAGATGCATCTGAAGTGGAGCAACTTGGACTTCAACTGGCATCCATAAGAGATGCCAGCTAACACATGGTACCTTACTTGCCAAGCCCCAGCACCATCCCCCTGTGTGCGGAAGGCTAGAAAAGCAGGAGGATTTTCAAAATCGTTGTCAGCTATTCCCTCTTCATCAGCAGCTGCATAGTGGGTATGTGAATTTGTTCATGACAGGACGGCCCTGTGGGACTCACTTTACATGGAGGGCTCCCACTGTCCTTCCCCACTGACCAGGCCCCACACTGTCTTTTTCCTCCTGCAGCTCTCTGGCCGGCTGAACAAGGGCTCCAGGGAACCAGGTGTCAATCACAGTAGCTCAGAGGTTGCTTTCTGGATTTTGGCTTTTACTTCATTTTTACCTCTGAGGGTTACTGATTCTCCTGCCAGCTCATTAGTGCATTGAAAAACACCTGCAGCCAGAACAGGCCATGGAAAGTTACCCACTGGCATACAATTGGCAGGGGTCAGGGGAAAACCAGGCTGAATCTGTCCACATCATCCACTGGCAAATCCAAGCACCAGAACAGTGTGGGTTGAGCCAGGTTCGGTCGCAACAAAGACTAGTGCACAATATGGAATGCCAAGGTGAGGTTGCCTGTACCAGAAGGGACTGCAGCGCCCAACCAGCAAGCGTGAGAACAAGGAAGGGAGGGGGCAGAGCCGGCAGGGGAATAAGGGAGGGTTCCTTTGCTGGACAGCTACTCCCACAGGAGAGCGTGGGCTGGGATGGGGGCAGACCAGACTAGGCAGGGCTACAACACCTGTGCACCTCATGTGGACCAGATCAGGGAAAAGCCAGGCTGGGCTTATTATTCCTACTGGGGCAAACAAAATTAGAGTGGGTGAAGGTTGTTTGGGCTTAGCCACAGCACCAGCTGGCAGAAGCTGGCACTGGGGGCTAGTTCTGTCAAGTCAAACCATAGAACTATCTGGAGAGTGCATAATTTGGGAGTGGGAGAGGACTGGGAGGGAAATAGTGGGCTCATCCCTCTTGGGTTACCACTTCCATGGAGGGCATAAAACTAGGACAGTGGCTGGGGTGGAATGGGGTGTGGGACAGACTGGGCTACTGCTACACATATTGGCAAACCAGGGTAGGGGGTGGGCCTGGTGGGGGTTATTGCGGGTTGCTCCAACTAGGCTGCAGCTCCCACTGGTTTATGCGAGGGCCGAGTATGTGCTGGGCAGAACCAGGCTGGGCTGTAACACCCATTGGTTCCAGTGGAAGTCGGAAGTGAAAACAGAACCAACCCAGCAATTGCAACCACCAGCTGATCGGGGCGATGGACTGTGCTGGGCCCTGTACTTGCTAGTACATACAAGAATCTGGTTTGAGAACACCTCAAAGTTTCTTTGGAGATCTCCCCAATCAAAATGCTGGACTCAGAACCCTAACCAAGAAAAGAGAGAAGACAGAACAGGTCAACCAACCATCTCAGCTATATCTTGGCAGCAAAATATGGGGCAAACAGAGACTCTATGATGGACTATGTCAATCAGTGGATTCTTCAAGGACCTCATCGTGCTTGGAGTGGCAAGATTGGCAGTGATTCATAACTGTTGAAATATCAAAACCACTTGAGCAAGAACCTCAGAGCATACCCTACATCTGGGACCTAGGGAGGGTGGCAAATTGGGTGGGCCTTATCCCTTAATATACCCTTTAAGCATGAAGGAAACAATATGGAAAAAATAATAGCCTTACCCACTTTCCTGTAGCCTGAACCTTTTTACCCTAACTATGTAAAGATTGTCAAAATATTAAAATATATATATATATACAAAAAAACTATATCTGAAGACATACTATATATAAGTTTATTGTAGCTAAAATAGAGCGATAGTGGCATAAAGACAGAAGAACAGAACAGAAAAGAAGCTCTAAAAGCAAATGAATGCGGGCCCAGCACGGTGGCACAGTGGTTAAAGTCCTCACCTTGCACGCCAGGGATCCCATATGGGTGCCGGTTCTAATCCCGGCAGCCCCGCTTCCCACCCAGCTCCCTGCCTGTGGCTGAGGAAGGCAGTCGAGGACGGCCCAAAGCTTTGGGACCCTGCACCCACACGGGAGACCTGGAAGAGGCTCCTGGCTTTGAATCGGCATAGCATCGGCCGTTGCGCTCACTTGGGGAGTGAATCATCAGACAGAAGATCTTCCTCTCTGTCTCTCCTCTTTGTATATCTGCCTTTCCAATGAAAAATAAATAAAATAATAATAATAATAAAGTAAATGAATGCATCTATATCCAACTCATCCAACTCATCTTTGACAAAGATGTTAAAAACATCACCAATAGGGGCCCGGCAACGTGGCCTAGCGGCTAAAGTCCTCACCTTGAATGCGCCAGGATCCCATATGGGCGCTGGTTCTAATCCCGGCAGCTCCACTTCCCATCCAGCTCCCTGCTTGTGGCCTGGGAAAGCAGTCAAGGACGGCCCAAAGCCTTGGGACCCTGCAACCGCACGGGAGACCTGGAAGAAGTTCCTGGATCCTGGCTCCAGATCCGCATAGCATCGGCCATTGTGTTCACTTGGGGAGTGAATTATCAGATGGAAGATCTTCCTCTCTTTCTCTCCTCCTCTCTGTATATCTGACTTTCCAATAAATAAATAAATAAATCTTTAAAAACAAAACAAAACAAATCAATAGAAAACTCAGCCTATACAGTAAAGGATTTTATAAAACTTGGATTTTGAGAAATTTTTGGAAATACCCTTTATTATATCAAAAAAAATAAGTGTTTAAGGCATAAACTGAGATTTGTGCAAGCCTACACTGACATTCAAATGCAATTATTTTAGTAAATTAGACTAAATAACTAGATATTCATAAAAGAAAAAAAAAATGAACCCTGACCCATACTTAAACCACTATCAAAATTTAATTCAAGATGGACATTTGGAGAGCAAAACATAGGACATTTGGGGTTAGCTATCAGAATAGAAAAATAACCAATACAGAACAATGGATAAATTTGCCTGTCAAATTTCACTGTCAAATAGATGAGGAGAAACATTCTCAACACAAATACTGAGAAAAAGACAAGTAGCCAGACTACATGTAAAACTGCAACTTGATTATAGTTATCAGGTTACTGCAAATTAAAACCAAAATGAGTACGGCCATCTACACTTTATAATATTGAAGTGGAGAAAACACTGACAGGATTGATGTTTCTAATGATGGGATTGCTCACTCGTTCCTTACATTTATATACAAGCAGACACCAAAACTAGTGTGGGGAGCAGTCTAAAGACAGGAACTGTCAGCACTCACAGAAACCACTATTAACCTGCCCATTATATTCCTAACTTCTAAAAAGGTGGCCACAACAGCAGGTCTTCATAAACTTTATGAAAACACACATTATGGAAAAGCTAGGCAAGAATTTCACATCTTTTTTTGGCAGTAGGAGAAGCATTTTAATTTCATATTCCAAGAACTTCCTAAAGTTCTCTTCCTGTTTCATCAGTTTACTGGCTAACAATGAAGCAAAACCTTTAGCAGACTCAAAGTATTACATTTTATCAATAAGTGTTTTTAATGTCTAAGAGGCTTCACACTTTTTTCTGTGTTCATACCACCACCACCGTGATTTAAATGTTTGTACTATTTCAATGTCTTGGGTTTGATGCCTACACTAGGAATTATACGTTAGCTCACACCATCCAGACTCTCCCACAAGGCTGAGCATTTACTCTATTTTCTTTATTCTTTTGCAATGAGACTTAACTTCAGTTCTCCCACGTAGATGCATCCTTTCATGATTTAGAGAGTCACTGTGAGATTAAGAGGCCAGCTTTCTGTCCCTGTTGCAGTTTCTTCTTACAAGGTAGGTCATGGAAATATCGTCCCCTGACATACTGTTCCAATCACTTTCCAGATAAATGAGCAGCGGTGGCTATTCACGACTGGAGATCCCTGCTCTTGATTCATAGGTGTAAGGAAGGGCACACACAGCTCCCAAGAGGCCCCACAGCAGGAGCTGCCTGAGCAATTCTTACAACGCTCTTGCACTTCTTGGAGACCACACTAACACCCTCTCCCAGTCTAACCATTTTTAGCATCGAATTCCTTGAATTAAGTCCTTTCCTGCTTAAAGTAAAGGTTTCTGTATTTCTGTTTCAACTATAATTTGAAGTAGAAATTTCTCTGGTCTTCATTTCCTAATATACCTAAAGGACAATTAGTACACTCATTTGTGTGTGTAAAATTATATATATATATATATATAATTATATATACATAATACACACACACACACATACACATATATAAAATAGGATCTTTACATAGCTGATTAGTTCACAAAGTGTCAAGGGCTACAGGAAAGTGGATAAGACCACTGCTTCCACATTCTCTTTTTCTCCTTCCTATATCTGGGGAAAAGGGAGAGACAAAGGGAAAAGCCACACCTACCCTTCCAGTCATCCCAGGGTCCCCAATTTGGGGCATGCTCCAAGGGCATTGCTCAAGCGGTTTTGGTAGCTCAACAGTTCTGAATTGGTGCCAATCTCGCCATTCCATGCACAATGAAATCTCTTCAGGATCCACTGGCTGACATAGTTCACTTTAGTGTCTCCACTTGCCCAGATTTTCACTGCCAACACTTGGCTGGACTAGCTGATCAATTTGTTCTGTCCTCTGTTGTGGTATCAGGTGTCCTCTGCAGGTTCCCACGTACTATCATATCCTCCATGTGCACCTGGATGGATATGCTGTCCACTGCTCTGTCTGAGACACTGAGGAGCCTCAGCTTTGACACACACACTCCACGGTCAGACCATGGAACCTGCACTTCTCCTCATGGTTGGGGTTCGAATTCCAGCAGTTTGATAGGGGGCATCCCCAAACAAAGTTTGTCTGAAGTGATCCCAGACCAGATTCTTGGTGTGCTTGCCAGTATACTGTCTGGTACAGTCCATCGTCCCTATCAGCCTATGCATATGCTAGTCATTGCAATTGTTGGGTCAGTTCTGCCTCCAGCACCATCTTCCACACAAACTAATGGGTGTTGCCGCCCAGCCTGATTCTGCCCACCACACACTTGGCCATGGAAACCAGTAGGAGCTGCAGCCTAGTTGGGGCAACTCCAAATAATCCTCACCAGGCCCACCCCCTGCCCTGGCTTCCATGCTTACAGTATGTACAGCAGACTGGTCCAGTCTTTCCCACACCCCATTTAGCTCTCCTACTTGTCAATGGGCATTGAAGCCTAGTTCAACCCAACCAGCCGCACTATCCATCCCACATACCTGCCGACAGTGCCACTCTCTGTCTAGTCATGCCTGCCCAAGTCCTAGTTCTCATGCTCACCAGGCTTGCCCCATGTCAGAAATCACCAGCTCCTCAATTGCTTCCAGAATATGCTTCAGCCCCTCTGGAATGGCATTTAAAGTTTTCTCAATTTGATAACAAAACTGATGCCACTCCATTTTAAAGAAGTACTACCCGCTAGCTGGAAGGCAACCTCTACAGAAGCAGACAAGAAGGGATTCAGGTTCATGGTTTAGGACAGAGAAATTCCCTCCATGATCTTGTAATGGAAACAGGCTAATCCAACAGTTATGGCCTTTTAGTTGCTAGCATGACACAAAGGGCAAAAAAATGTTCAAAAGCAGTATTTCCAGCAATATCGTTCAACTTGAGGGGAGAGGAGACTTTAACCCAGTCTCTTTGCAATCTCTCTCTCTTTCTTTAAGATTTATATATTTTTATTGGAAAGGCAGACATATAGAGTGGAGGAGAGACAGAGAGGAAGATCTTCCATCTGATGGTTCACTCCCCAAGTGCCCAGAAGGGCTGAAGTTGAGCCAACCTGAAGCCAGGAGCCAGGAGCCAGGAGCCTCTTCCGGGTCCCCCATGCGGGTACAAGGACCCAAAGATCTGAGCTGTCCTGGACTGCTTTCCCAGGCCACAAGCAGGGAGCTGGATGGGAAGTGGAGCCTCCGGGATGAGAACCGGTGCCCGTATGGCATCTTGGTGCATTTAAGGAGATGCCTTTACCACTATGCTATTATGCCAGGCCCTCTTTGCAATATCCTAACAAAGAATCTGGGTCGTGATCCTAATCCACATAACCAGATGCTGACTTGTATTCCTGTGACCAACCACAAGGATTCAGTTCTTAAATCAGGGAGAAGTCTGCTAGAAAACCACTCCTAAGCAGTGACGGAGACAGACCCTGAAAAGGGGAAGAGACAGGCAGTCCAGAAAGGCTGCTGGGCTCACCTGGAAAAGGGGGCACAGTTCCCATGGAAGGCTCAAAGAAAAGAGTTCACAACACAGTTGGGGGAAAGGCATGGAACCCTACCTGGGCAGGTGTGGACTGAAGGAGCTGAGAACACAGCTGAGAGCCTTGCAAAGCCTGAGCAGGGCTGACCCATCTATGCTCAGCAATGACAACTTCTACTGAATAGTACTTTTTATGCTAAGTCACACTTAGAGGGAATCATCAACTCATGTTGTCAGTTCCCAGAGAGCTGACACCTTTTCTCATTAATCCTTGTATTTTGCCAGTGTTCTGGAAGGCAATGCTTTGCATGTGAGTTCAGTGATTTTGCTAAACAAAACATCTGAAAGGATATGGAGGGTGGGAATACAGCAAGGAATCAAAGAACACATTACATCCATATAAACAAACATAATCAATCTCCACACACAGAGTATGCTGGAAGGGCTGGTCAAAGCAGGAAGGTATCTTAGTCAGATACTACATGAGGTGACCTGCCTTAATCCATTATGGAGAAACACAAAGATACAGCAACAATATGTATTAACTGAGATGCTACCTTTTCATGCTATGGACTAACAATCCAAAAGAGTAAACTTGCTAAGGTCACAGAACTATACGATCAGGAAGCCTTCAGGGTAAGCGGCTTGTTCTACTTTCTGAAATAAATTGCATCAAGTTTTAGAGTTGATTTTAACAGATTTCATCTCCATTCTAATGTTAAGAGTTGAAAGGGGCTTGTCTACCTAAGAAGATCAGAAAAAAAATATTTTTGTTTTCTTATCATATCCCTTGAAGATAAAACAACAAACAAAACACACACACACACTATTGCATTATTTTCACTTTATAGGCAAGAAAAACTAGGACTCAGGAATCTCAGCAAAGGTACACTCAGCTCGGGTAAGAGAGCTGCAGGCATGTGTACAAGGTCTCCCCATTTGGGCATATATCTATGTGCACTCAGACACTTTGCATTCTCTAATGATGTGGTGTAGCATTCTGTCTACATCAAGTGGGTCAAGTTGCTTAGTTCAAATGTCTACATTGTTACTGATTTTCTCATCTGTTCTACTTACTGAGAAAAAGACACCTTTATCTCTTCAATGGGGATTGTAGATGTGCCCATTTCTTCTTTTAGATCTGCCCTTTCATACAGTTTACGTCTGAATAAAGCTCAATCTGCAAGAGTTGGAAATGTGTTCAAATCTGTTTTCCTGCAATCTCTAAAATAAACCTGGAGAAACCCAATCTGGTCTCAGCAATGCCTGGCCCAGTCCCTTCGCATTTCACCACCCTGGGGTGTGGTGGGATTGCCAACACTGGCCTAGAGGCCCTCACTGGACACTCCTTCCTGGGATGGGCCAAGTGCACAGGTGCATCTGGCAAAGCCAATGGCTCCTCCATCACGCTCCTCCCACTGCACTTCCCCCATGATTCCCCACCTGAGGGCAGCTCACCTTGTATGCCTGACAGTCCGAAGTCCTGCCGAGTGAGGAAAATGGCATGATCGTGGTACTTGTCGTGGTCTGTGTCTGGCTTCTGCTGCAGGCAAGCCCAGTGGCAGACATTCTCCAGGCTCTGGGAAGGGTTCCTGATCTCGATGAGGCTCATGGACTGCAGGGAAAAGGGGGGTTCTGAGGAGAGGCTTGGCGTAGTCCCTCCAACTGGGGTTGTGGAGAGACATGGCCCTCTGCGCCCTGGCTAGGCCAGCTCAGGATGGGACTCCCGCTGCTCTCCATACTTCTGAATAAGGAAGGGTTTCCCAGCAGCTTCCCATGAAGTCCCTGCTGGGTTCTCAGGGAAGACACTGAGGCCAAACTCCTAAGCTGCCTCACACAGTCCCTTCACCTTCCTCCAGGTGCAGGAGGGCCTGAGTTGTATCAGACCCCTAGTCTGAGTGGGCCCTGGGCAGGATGTAGGTGCAGGGAACCAGAAGATCCAGTCAGACCTGCAAGAGGAAGGGGGCGAAGGCCTTGCCTTTCTCCCATTTGAGGGCATTTACAAGACACAAAACAAACATGGTAAAAGGAGCTATAAGTGACAGAACCATGGGCCATGTAAGGGACAGGGCTATAAGCCGGTGATCCCACAGGAACACAGAAAATGAGCCCCTGAGACGGTCCCACCCTAGCTGACTGAGGTCAGCCACAGGATTCCTCCCCAACCCCCAGGCCTGTGCACCAGCCATGCACATTGGAGCACTGGCCCACACTCTCATTCAATCCCCCACTCACTTGAGAGACAGGCAGCCAAGGCTCAGAGAAGTCGCTTGTTCCAGGGTGTACAGACAGGGAGAAACTGAACTCAAAACCAGGATGCCAGAAACCCAACTCTCGCTCTGTCCACTGTCTGAAACACTCTCTCTAAATAAAGCAAGTGGGCCTGGCCTGGTAGCTTACCAGCTAAAGTCCTCATCTTGTATGCACTAGGATACCACATGGGCACCAATTCATGTCCCGGCAGCCCCACTTCCCATCCAGCTCCCTGCTTGTGACCTGGGAAAGTAGTCAAAGACAGCCCAGGGCCTTGAGATCCTACACCCACGTGGGAGGCCAGTAAGCAGCTCTGGGCACCTGACTTTCTATCAGCTTAGCCCCGGCCATAGTGGCCCCGTGGGATGGTGAATCAGCAGATGAAAGATATCCCTCTCTGTCTCTTCTCCTTGTTGTATGTCTCACTTTCCAAAAAAACGAAAGAAATCTTTAAATAAATGTATAAATAAAGCACGTGCCAAATTGTCTCAGCAAGGGGAGGGGCTGCTTCTCTTCCACAGGTATTTTGGTTTCTGCTCTTACCGCCTGCAACCATCAGCAAAGCGGCTGCTCAGAGAGAGCGAGGCATCCCTCCCAAAGTCCTCATGTGAGTGTTCCTCCTTAAACATCTGTCCCTGCAGTAGAACTGTGCATTCCTGAGGAGATAGGCAGGCAGGTGTTCTCCTGACTGGCTTGGGTGACTATCAGCATTCATGGAATAGCACCAGAAGACCAGCTTAGGAGGCAGCAGTTAGCCTATCCTGGGGGAGGGCCAGGATTTCACTCCAGCTTCCTGCCAGGGCCACTCCAGTAGGAGCAGGTGGGTGGCTGCTGCCTCCCGTGGGGGAGCCCTGGATTGCATTCCAGCTCCTGGCTTCCAGCTCAGCCCAGCCCTGGCCATGGCTGGCATTCAAAGATGAATCAGCTTGTCTCTCTCCCTCTCAAACAAATAGTAATAGTATTGCTAAAGATAAGTTTATTTCAGTGCCAAAAAACTTTTGAGGCCCATACATAACAAAAATTTTCACAAAGTTTCTGAAAAAATATATACCATGAAAAAAACTGCAGGAATCTCATTTTTGCTACAAAATAAACTAGTTTTTAGAGAGGCAGAGACAGAAAGAGACAGACACAGGAACACAGAGTGTTCTTCCTGCGGGTTCACTCCCCAAATGGCAGGAGTGGGACCCCAGCTGGGTCTCCCACAGAGATGGCAGGGTCCCAAGCAGGGGAGCTGTGCCCTGCTAACTCCCTGGGTCCTCAATGGGAGGAAGCTGTAGCTGGGAGCCAGACGCAGGAAACGAACCTAGGTGCCCCGATACAGGTCACAGGTGTCTTAATCACTAGGCCAGATGCCTGCTCCGGAAAGGTTTTTAACTCCATTGGCTCACTCATTTATTTTAAAGCCTGCTTTTATATCAGCACAAAACACAGCCCGCCCTCCACACCTGCAATTCATCATCCTCAGATTAAGCCAGGTGCAAACTGAAAATAGTTCCATCTGTACATGATGGGGGTGGGACAGGGGAGCGAGGCAGGTAAGTCACATCTTGAAATAGGCCCCAGAGCAAGAGAGGGCCAGGCCTGCCCTGTTTCTAATATTCCTCTGGCCTCTTGTGAGAACTGGCAGCATCCCATGACAATCTACCAAATCCCTTCATGAGCCACCCCTGAGAACCCCGAAGGGCCATCACCACATCCTGAGACTCCCAACACCCAACTCTCGGGCAACAACTATATCCAAACAAGCAGCAGGATCCAGGCCAGACACTGGCAGTGCCCATGTCAGAGGGAAATTCATTCCCGGATTCCTCACCCAAGTACCTGCATGTAGCCAAGCCTGAAGCCTGCCCAGCATGCCGCTGCTGCGGGACACAGGTCAGCATCCAGACTTACACACATGGCCATGAGCAGGACCCAGGGCTCCTCACCAGGTCAGGCAAGTGGGACTGTCTCATGCAGCCATCTGCTTTCCAACAAAATGGGCCAGGGAGACAATGAGAGCTCACACATTCAAGACAAAAGCCACTGTCTGTGTAATTTAATCACAGTTGGTCCAAGCCCAGGGGTGGGGACTTGGCCAGGCCACAAGCTCCCAAAAGTAGGGTTACCAAGACTGCTTTAGAGACTTCCTGCTTCTGACAGGTCTCATTCAAGAAGTTCCTGGGATTGGCATGAAAGTACAGTGTGTTAATCCATGACTTGTAAATGTTGGCTTCCAGTAGTAGAGCTCAAGACCCAACAGCTCCACTTCTGATCCAGTTCCAAGCTAATGTATGGGGA